TTCAAGTGACACCATCATAGGACCTAATCACATCGGCCACGCCATCAGGGGCTTGTTCACCTGCACATCTACCAACATGATATATGCCATCATGTGCCAGCAATGCCCCTCTGCCATATACATTGGCCAAACCGAACAGTCTCTACGCAAAAGAATAAATGGACACAAATCTGACATCAGGAATCATAATATTCAAAAACCAGTGGGAGAACACTTCAACCTCTCTAACCACTCAGTGACAGACTTGAATGTGGCAATTTTGCAACAAAAAAATTTCAAAAACAGACTCCAAAGAGAGACTGCTGAACTTGAATTAATATACAAATTAGATACAATTAACTTAGGCTTGAACAGAGACTGGGAATGGTTAGGTCATTACACTAATTGAATCTATTTCCCCATGTTAAAATATCCTCACACCTTCTATGGGTCATCTCGATTATCACTTCAAAGGTTTTTTTCTCTCTCCTGCTGATGATAGCTCATCTCAATTGATTGGCCTCTTACAGTTGGTATGGCTACTCCCACCTTTTCATGTTCTCTGTATGTATAAATATCTTCTTTCTGTGTGTTCCATTCTATGCATCCGATGAAGTGGGTTTTAGCCCACGAAAGCTTATGCTCAAATAAATCTGTTAGTCTCTAAGGTGCCACAGGACTGAAAGGGCCAGCTCTAAATTACAGACCCCAGTCCCCTGCTATCATAGGCAACCCCATCATATAATTCCATTCATTAACATAATAGCTCCAGCTTAAAACTAGTTAGGTTGTTGGTCTCCACTACTCCTATAGGAAGTATGGTCCCAAACCTCACTCTGGTGACAAGAAACCTAATTTCCAGCCCTTCTCTGCATTTGTTCCAATTTGAATTCATCTTTCTTGAACACAGCTGTTCATAATTATACACAGCATTCTTACCAGTGCCTTGTACAATGGCATTAATGCTTTCCTGTCTCTACTAGAAATATTTTACCTGATACATCCTAGGATGGTATTTGCTTTTTTCAGAGCAACATCACATTGGTGGCTCATAACCATCTTGTGATCAACTGATACTTCCAGGTCTTTTTCCTCCTCTGTCATTTCCAATTGATGAGGCCCCAGTCTACAGCAGAAATTCTTGTTATCAGTCCCTAAGTGCATGACCTTACACTTCTATGCTATTAAATTTCATTCCATTCCTCTTTCTCCAGTCCTCAAGATCATCCATTTTCCCCCATATGATATTCCAATCCTCCTCTTCATTGACAATGACTCCCAATTTTGTCTTCTTTATTGAAAACTGAGGCAAAGTATTAATTTACTGGGGATATATCTAGATTATCTTTAATTTCTATCCCATTTTCACTGCACAGCAGCCCCACTTCTTTTCTTGTTCTCTTTTTAGTTATACTGCTAATGAACCTTTTACTGTTTGTTTTAATTTCTTTGACAAGGTCCAACTCAGTTTGACTTTTGGCAATTCTCACCTTCTCCTCACACTTTCTGACCTCCATGATGCAGCTTTTTTAGCTGATTAATCACTTCTTCTTTTCCTTGTAGGCTCTTTGTTTACTCCTCGTCTCCTTTATGAAGTGGTTGTTCATCCAGCTAAATCTGGAGCACTTCCCTACAAGTTTTTCCCCCTTGCTTGGGATGTAAATTCCAGACAGTTTTTGCACTGTTGAATTAAAGAAATTCCAAGCCCTCTCCACATTTAAGTCCCCTGAGCTGTTTGGTCGACCTGACATCACTAATTAGTTCCCTTATTTTCTCAGAGACTGCCCTTTTGAAGTAAAAAAAAAAACATAGCAGCCAACCTGTTCGGATTATCTTTCCATTGAATTTAAACTGAATCAACTTGTGATCACTCGATCCAAGGTTTTTTCCTTTGACCAGCTCTTCTATAATGTCCCCACTACTTACCAAAACCAAGTCTAAAATAGCATCAACTCTTGTGGGCTCAGTGACGGTTTGGTGAAGAAATCTGTCAGCTACCACATCCAGGAGTAACCGGGCCTTACCATTATTGGTAGCATTTGTTCTCCAATCTATATCTGGGAAGTTAAAGTCTCCCAAAATGGCACAATTTCCAGTAGTATTTAATGATACTCTCTAATAATATTTAAGTGTTCTCTATTCATATCCAAATCCGACCCTGGGGGTCTATATCTAACCCTTAACAGTATCCCAGTAGAACCTCTTTTGCAATCCTTCGTAACAAACTATGTTATCACTTCTTGTGTCTTTACAGTCCTCCCTCCTTTCCTCTCTCATGTCTTCAAATCCCCATCTGAACTCCACCATCATCTCCAGGTGGATCTCTAGCACTTGGATCTTTTCTGCCATGAACTCTATCAGGTGGCATGTCATACGTAAATAGCTTTCATCAGGTACCCATTCAAAGATATTATACAACCCGCAGCTTCTGCATCCAGTCTTTGTCTCCACTTCTCCTCAGGACACCTCTAGCGCCACCTCCATAGCCATCATTGTCTTTTCTTTCTAGTCCCTTGCCTTAAAGAAGAAAGGATGAAAATCCCCTGAACTCCCTCCTACAGACTCCCAAGTTTTCTGTATTCTGTTTGCTAGGCCCTTCTCAACAGATGGGACTTAACACTCCTGGGTTCTATTCCAGGCTTGGAGACCTTGGCCAATACCTCGTCTCCTTTGAAAATCTTAACCTTATTTCCTTGGGTGACACAGTGACCACATTAGCCAGTCTCATTGTGTGAAGAGTGAAAATCCACATGCTGGCAATGGGCTAGGTCACTAGGTAATGGACAGTGTCATGCAAAAGAAAACAAAGCCTGAGTCCCCTTGTGATCTCTCAAGCAAAGGGAAATACCATAGATAAGGAATTTGGCAATTTAAACAAATAAGCAGGTTTCTGGTGGTGGCTCTTGTGACAGTAGATCTCAGTACCATGTGGACCTGTTGAAATTCACTGGGTGGAAGTTCTGTGAAGATTCTGGAGTGAATATCAGAATTTTGCTGTAACAGAAATGACTGAGCTGGAGGGAGGGATCCTTGCTTTTGAGAAACTCCCCACCCCACTGCCACTTTGGGCCAGATTCTGGCCAGTTCCTGTGATGGGAGGGGTGTGTAAAACTAAAGTGCCAGTCAGAATCCCATCAGGAGTATAGTCCCTTTTCCCTGCCAGCACCTGTGGGAGCTAGGTACCTAAAACTGAGCAGGAAAGAGATGGAGGAAGAGTCAAGGTTTTGCCACCAATGGAACTGGCAAAGCACAGAGAGGAACATTTGTTACACACATGCAGTGTGCACTGACGGGGGAGCCCTGTGCAGAATTTTGACTGACTCAGCAACTTGGCCTCTGCATCCCATCCAGGGTCTCAAGGTAGCAGAGCCAGAACCTTGCACTTTGTAAGGAGGGAACTATCCAACACCTTGAAAACTCTGAAGAAAACCTCTCTGACAAATGGATTTATCGTTTTCCCCTCCACTGTGTGGGAGCTGGAATATTCTGGGTGCATAAGTGGGGGTCAATTTTATGAATTTGCTGAGGTTCCAGTCAGATTTTAAAGCTGAAATCTAACCATCAGATTTGCCAATTGGATAAATATTGTAACCAGTATCTGAACAGAATTTAATTTGGATAACCCTTTTTTATTGCGTCCAGGGAGCGTTCGCTTACTAATGTTAACACAAGGTTTTTCTCAGGTCAACTTTTACCTTGCATAATATTTCTGAGAGCAGGCTGCTTAGGGCTTGTCTACACAGAGACTTAGGGTATGTCTACCCTACCCACAGGATCGGCAGGCAGTGATCGATCCAGCGGGGGTGGATTTATCGCATCTAGTCTAGTCTAGTCTAGAAGCCAGAGTGTAAATCTATAGCACGCTAGCTTGCCATGCGCTAACTGCTTCTGTGCATTAAAAGTTCCATACTGTACTTTGACATACTGCTGTTTCAGTACTATGGATGTTTTAGGGTATGTCTACACTGGGAGCGAGTCTCCCAGGCCAGAGCCACACACTTGTGTTAGCGGAACTCAAACTAGCACATTAAAAATAGCTGTGTAGACAGTGCTTTGATGTTGCAACTTGGGCTGGAGCTCAGGCTTGGGCATTCAAGCTTCCAAGCCTGGAGTTGCAATTCCCCCCTTTTAAGCATTTTCATTGAATATTTTAGAGCTATACACAGGCTTTCAATATTCTTTTTCCTCTGGAATTCATATCACTTTTAGAGTTACAGAAGGCTGTTGGTGTGCAGAGACCACTGTCTAGCACGGTGACCAATATTGTCTCCTTGCTTACTTGTACTCCTCCATTTGTCTATATGCATCTGTTTTCACTTTCTTACACTTTGATTGAAAATTCCTTGGGGCAGGGATTGTCCTTTTGTTCTGGTGTTTATATTGTGCAATGGGGTCCTACTTTATTATTTTTTGTATTGTTGGTAATGCAAATAATAATACTAACTTAGAAAAAAAACTCAAAAAATCTTTAATCATTCCTCTAAATTTAGTGGACATCATCCATACATTCTTTGATTATATTTAATATCTTTCTTTTCAGATCCTTTAGGGCTTACTAGAGACATTGTACTGAAAGAATGAGACTGATCATCTGCATATTGAGAGATGTTTTTCTGATACATAAGGCAGACAAATTCACAGCTTCTAACTGGGGTGAAAGATATATTGGACTTCTTTTTGCCTAGGTGCTTAATTCCACTGAAATCAATGGGAATTAGAGCATGCTCTAGGTACCTATCTGCATCTTTAGGCACCTAAATACCTTTAAAAATCTGGCCCTTTGTCTACAAACTGCATATTCATTCATCTAATTCTAGCAGCATCTGCTAGAACCAGGAACACTGCACTGAAAGAGTTGTGTACTGTGGGTACTGACAGTCAACTGACACCAGAATTGGGGAAACTGCTTGGGTAATGTGGGGGAAACCCTGAGGAGAAGTCATTGCTGGGAACAAACAGGAAAGGACCACTGCAATTGCTTTTTATTGAATCCCATCTGTCTGCCTGTGTTTCCAATCCAGGATGCTTTCTGGGCCTTTCACCTCAACCCCAGCTTTGTGCAAAAGTTTCTCAAGCCATTACTGATTGGAGAGCTTGCCCCAGGGGAACCTAGCCAGGACCGAGGCAAAAACGTGAGTAGCTGCAAACCCCTCTCTGTGGGCTCTGTTTCTGGAGAAGAGTCTGGTCATGCCGCAATTTATCTACAAAGCTGCCCTCCAGGTTCCTGTGTGCAAAGCCACTACATATAATTCACAAGCCTTCTTCACTATAGACAGCTCTAGCAAGTGCAGGAAACTGCAGGGAAAGACACCCACAGTCAGACAGCTCTGTGTGGCCATGTGGATGTCCCAGTATTGACTGGTGCAGGGACAGGCAACACTTAGGTCAACTTCTCCTGACCTGCAGCACCCCTTGCTATTCCCCTCCTGCAGGCTTTCAACAGCTCTGCCTGTGCAGTTCAGGCCTGATCTGTGACAACTAAAGAAGAGCCCAGTTCAAACTCACCGATTTGAGCACTTGCAAACTTTGGATAAATATGGATCAAGATCTGGATCCAGTCTTTGTGGCTGGAGTTCATCTCTAGTCAATAACCCTGTTGCTCAAATTCTCATGACCCGGGTCTGCCCATCGTTCCATATGGCATGTCAGTTTTGTGCTACGGACAAAAGGCCATGAGACCATCAAAACGAGACTGCTTGTTATCTAAAGCAGATTTGAACTCTCTTCCATCCTCTGCCTCATACCATTGACCACGCAGCCCAAGCAAACACTACTCTGAACTTCATATGGACTTGTCCTGATTAGCTCTCAGCAATGGAGAAGTCTGTGAAAGTGGCCATGTTTGTGGAGTAAGTGGCAATAACACCAGTGGGTGAGATGAAACAAACTGCTCGCTCCGAGCACTGTGCTTATGAAGCTGTAACACAACAGGGCCCTTTATCCACTCCATGTCAATGTGTCCAGCTCTATGCAAGTCCCAAATGTTCCATTCATTCATTATTCAGACCCTGTGCACTGCACAACTGACTCCTAAAGTGAAACCCTTTCTCTTCCTTATTGTTCTTTAGCCTCCTGAGTTTATGACCTGCCTGTTTCATGCACAATAGCAGTGACTACATTAACCTGCATTACCTCTTGACCTGCTTTCATGAGTGACTGCACGCTAACTGAACACATCCCAAAGAGAATGGAGCTGCCTTGGCACTATACTCTCTCATCAGCAGAGGTTCAGGGTTATGCATAAGTGAAGAGACTGAATTCTCTCTTCCCCAAGGAGAGGGGAGAAGTCCCTTTATAGCCTATATGGAATGAATTACAGAGCACTGAGACTGGATAAATGGAGAGGTGTTGGACCAGCTGGTGTAAATCGCCATAGCTATATTGACTTTAGTGGGTCTCGGGTGACTTACACCAGCTGAAGATCTGGATTTTAATTGTAATTCAGAAGGTGGGATAAGACCCATCAGGGTAGGGACTAGGATCAGGTTCCTGTGGGGGGCAGTATAGAAATTCTAAAGACTGCATGAGTACAGAGACTAATTCTTCTCCCATTCTGGGGAAGCTGATGACTCCAAAACAGGCAGGGGTTATAGTGTGGAAGCCCAAGCTTGAATGGACACATTCACACATGTAAAGAAGGTGCATCTTAAATCCTGCATTTCCATTTTGCAGCCCCAGCTGGTGGATGATTTCCGGGCCCTGAGAAAGACAGCAGAGGATATGAATTTGTTCAAAGCAGATCCCTTATTTTTCTCCCTTTACCTGGGTCACATCATCATGATGGAAGCTTTGGCTTGGTTACTAGTTTCATACTACGGCACTGGCTGGATCACAACCTTTATCCTTTCCTGCATCCTTGCAACCTCCCAGGTGAGAAATGGCATGGAGTAACGGGGGTGCATGTGCTTCCACGACAGGTGACCTGTCAGTGCATCCCGTCGTTCAGAGCACCTCATGCCGGGACTATCACAACACTCACTTTGGAAGAACATTCATGAACCTCATGCACCCCTCAGCCCCCTCACTGCCTTGCTCTTGCTCATAGGGCGCCTACTCACTGCCTCACACTCGGATGCATTGAGTCCACTGCCTGTCTCACGTCCCCCTCCCATAGATCCAATACCAATGAAATTAATACAAAACTCTTCCCCTTCCACACTTTTTCTGTGCATAGGACTGTGCATATTTCATACAGACACACAATACTTGCCTTCCACTCTGGGTGTCCTTTCTTACTTACCTTTGATTTCAAGCAGCCCTGTCACCCCTGGTCCTTTTTCCTCTGCAGGCCCAGGCTGGGTGGCTACAGCATGACTTTGGACACCTCTCTGTCTTTAAGAAATCTAAATGGAACCATATCGTCCACAAGTTTGTCATCGGGCACCTGAAGGTAAAGGTCATTTGCTGGATGCCAGCACACACTGTGCAGAAAGGAAATGATTGCAGCAAAGGAGACTGGGGATCCACTCCATCCCATTTCACAGACTGTAGGTGTCAAAGCCATAAACCCCAGCCTGCCAGTCGGATCTCACCCTTTCAGAGGGAGCAGCAGCAGGGAGGAAGAATTAGTGACAGATTCCAGGTGGAGTTCTTGGAGGCTCAGATAGGGGAGCCAGATCCTCAGCTAGTGTAAATCATTATAGCTCCAGTAACACCAATGGAACTATGCTGATTTCCACCAGCTGGGGATCTGGCCCATAAGATTGTTAAAATGAAGCATTATACAATCTCCTTTACTCCCCATTCCCCCCACTTTCCCTACATAAAGCCCAAGTAATGTGTTTATTGATTAAAACGACCACCCTGCCATCTCTCACCCATTCGGGACAATTTTAGAACTTCAGTCCAGGATAGGGTCCAACACAAGAGTCCTATACAATATAGCTGGCAAAACGATCCACCTACAGTGTGGAGTCTTGTACAAAGGGATGGAATGGTAGGCATTATTAGATGCATATTTAGTTTGGCCTTGGCCATTTTAACCTCAGGCATGGAATGACCGCACTAGCAATAAAAAGTATTAAAAGGCAGCAGTGAGACAACACTGTGTCCAGACCCAAGGTGGGGCATCATCTATTGAAAACCACAGCAACAAGTAACATCCTTGGCCACAGCTCTGTTCTCACCTTGTGACAGTGTCCCTCTACCCCTCTTGAGGCCCAGCTTGGGTGGTACTGACCAGACATTTCCCAATTTGCAAGCAGCACAAATAATGCTCAATTGCTACCCAACCTGCTTTAATGCAAGGAGAGGAAATAGGCAGTCCTAGCAGAAGAAGCCCATTCTTCCTGGTGTATAAAAAGGGATTAAATATGGAGAGTCTCATTTGCATGGACAAGGTTAAGCAAATTGCCAGATTTGGGGTCTAGATAAATTTTCTTCTTCGGGGCACATTTGGCAGTATAGAAAAAAACAAGGGAGGAGGCAGGCAAAATATCAGAGCAGAGAGATGATATCTCAGAGAGAGAGATCAGCAGGGATCTGGGGTGAAGAGGCAGGATTTCCGTTCCTCTAGAGCACTGAACAGAGGATAATCTTTTAGGATTAGATGGGCATAGCCTACATGATACAGCTCCTTTCCTTCCGGGGGAGAGGAGGGGCAATGTTGGACCTTTGCCCATCTCACAATTCTCTGTGTTCCTCCTTCTTCACTTTATAGATGATCACTTGCAGGTCCTGAACAGGGAACACCAAAAAACCACAAAGCAATTTATTGCAGCAATCTAAAAACGAGGGCTCCCACGTTGGGGTTGGCTATTCCCTCACTGCCAGCTTCTCAACAATGCCCCGTTATTCATAGCAACCAGAGCTCTCAGATTGCCCAGTCCTGGGACAACCGATTTCCAACATGTGTAAGCAGGGGCAAGTAACCTCCGAATGCTCATTAACATGACTAAACTAAAGGCAGCTTTGTGAGATGGAGGCTCTCTGTCCACTCTGAATTCTTGGAAGCAGCCAGCTGCCCACAACGCTTATCACCAGTCACAAGGCAAGTGCTTTGCTGGCCTTCTGCCTGAGCATCCTTGGCAGTGGGACAGCTTGGCACTGTGTTTCACAAGTGCCAGAGGGAAATGAGGATATAGGACCCTTATGGGACACGGTCCAGTCTTTTTTTTTTAATACTCTCCATTAAAATCTTCTTAGACACTGGAAAATAATATTTCTTTCCTGGCCAGTTTTGTCTTTTTTCCATTGGGCAAAGAGGGATTCTTTTCATATTCTTTCTTCCATTGCATAAGCCAACATGGCTTTGCCTGCTTACATCATTCTTGACATCATCCATGAAATGGGTGATGACACTGAAGACAACAGAGCTCTGGGTAAAGGATGCTGTTTATCTTGAGCTTCCCCTGCTGGTGGGATGTCTGTCTGCTGGTCTTTGCAGCATATAAATATTAGGAGTTACAGGTAAGCAAGGCTAACTTCTTTTTTCTCAATGTGAGTGGCATTTTTTTTAAATGATATACTAATCCAGACAGATCCAGATCCTCATCTGGTACTAATCAGCCTGTCAGAGCAGAGGATTTAGCCTCTTCACTCTTACAACAATTTCACAGGTAGCTAAGAGTTTGGACATAAACTATATGCCATGGGCGGTTTAGAATATACAAGTGAATGAATATCATAGCGGGGGGATCATCTCTCTATTAGTGGGAACCATGCCTCCCCATTTACTAAACATTTCCTCCCTCTTCCCAGGGTGCCTCAGCAAACTGGTGGAATCATCGTCACTTCCAACATCATGCCAAGCCCAACATCTTCAAGAAGGACCCAGATGTGAACATGATGCATATTTTTGTCCTGGGAGATTCTCAGCCCGTTGAGGTAAGACAAGGAAGTGGTGTCTGCTGGTGGGCTCTAGAGAACTTTTTCTGTGAGGACAGAGGTTGATCAGTGTCTGGAGGACCAGACCTCAGCTCTTAAGACTTCATCTTTGAGGAAATGTTCCCTGCATCTATATTTTCTGACAGGAGTTTGGATCAAAATTTGAGAAGATGTGAGGGCCAGAAAGTTCAGTGGTCGATATAATTTCTCATGCCTGTTTTCAGCCCAAAGGTGAGCATATTTTTAGATAGCTTGAGAGCTAGGGAATGAGAATGAAGAGAATGCAGAAATAGGGAAATTTTCATCCCATTGTTCTGAGATATCCAAGTGTGGATAAAATGGTGCAGAATACTCATTTGCTGACTTAACACAAACAGGGTTTCTTTCTGATATTTCCAACTTGTCATTGGTTTATTTCTTCTGTGAGGACAGGTACCTCTTGTGAGTAGTCAAAGCAAATTCCTTTAAAAAGTTGATCTAATATTGAAAGAAATGCCTTACTAAATTTGTGTACAAACAGGAGTCCTCACTTCATTGGAGCCTTGGCAAATTCTGTTTAGAGCAGATTGCATGGTTACATCAGAATAATGGTTTCCTCTTGTGTCTTCTGCTTGGGGAAAAACATGAGGAAACTCTGGGGGGCGGGGAGAGAAGAGACCTACATTAATGCAATTGTAGTGCTGATGTGTTAAACACCAAAGGCTTGGTTGTACTTCATTTCCCAATCCACCACCCAGCAGAGCTGAGCCAGAATAGCAGGGTGAATGGTAATTTACTGCCAGTATATTATACCCCTGAAGCAAGCGGGGAACACAGAGGGAATTGCAGCTCCCTGAGATGTAATTCCTTCCTGGGGCAATTCAAGCATGGGCGGTGTCCTTGGGACACAACCTAGTCCTGCAAAAATCCATAAACTCAAAAGACAGGGGGCCAGATGTTGGACTATATAAATCCATGAAGTCAATGGGGCTATATTGATTTACAACAGCTCAGGTTCAGAGCCATGGTTCCCAAGGCAACTATGAGTCAGCCACACTGCACACAGTAACTGTATCTATTAAGGTAATGCAATTAAATCCAATTATCTGGGGCCACAATATTTACTCTCTGTATTGTACAAAAACCTAAGGGAGGGGTATCATAAAGATCAATAGTGATATATGATGTATCAGCATAAGGACATGCAGCAAAAAAAGCTTAGAAAGCCAACGTGTGGCTCTGAAACACCACGGCAATGGCATTTGTAACAAACAGAATATAGGAAGACATAAAAGAAAATACTAGTGCACACTCATGCCACCACAACCCACTTCTAGGCCACAAAGAAGCTAATTCCAGATACATGATAGAGAGGCTGCCTAAAAGATGAGTTACCTGCACAGGTACTGAGAGTGTTCTATGAAGACAGAAAAGTCTAGCCATATGTCACTGAAATGAGTGACCCAGAATGGACCATAACAAACCACTAATCAACCATTACACTATGGTGGCTAGATATCAGGAGTCAGATCTTCAACTGGTGTAAATCAGTGCCACTCCATTGATGTCAATGGAATTTACCGATTTACACCATTTGAAGAGCTGGCCCCTGATAGCTAGGTTTTGAGGATGATGGTCCCATCACTGCACAAATAGCTGAGCAGAATGTGGGTGCTTATAGCAATGAAGGAATTGGTTCTGTCTTCCAAGATGAGTGTATGAAGTATGAGCACTATATCAGTGCTTGGATGTGCTTGCACTCTTGTATATTGAAACCTTACCCTAGTGCAGCCTTGCAGAACTTGGACCGCACTTAATTCCCTTCTCATAAATCTGTAATTCCTGAAATCACCAGTGACCCACAGGCCATGTGAATGTATTACTGGTGAAAGGTGTTAGCCTGTTTGAACTCGGATGAAGACATGGAACAGGTCTCATAGACTCATAGACTTTAAGGTCAGAAGGGACCATTATGATCATCTAGTCTGACCTCCCGCATGATGCAGGCCACAAAAGCTGACCCACCCACTCCTGGAATAATTCTCTGGTGATGCCCCTCAATCAGAAGGAAGGGAACAAAATGGAACAGGGGTCAATCAAGATGGAAATGAACAAGGAAGTGGGGAGAAATAGTAAGATAAACAAGTAAGAGGAGAACACAAGTGTGGGAACACTGTCCAGAGAACCCTAGACAACTGGTGACAGGGAGTGGCCTATTTCCAAGTCTGGGGTGGTGAGTGGAGGCCACCAGGAATTAAAGGAACACCCCCTCAGATGAAGAAGGTGCCAGATGTCCCAAGTAATCAGTTGACAACAAAAGAAGGAAACAGGAATGAGCGTGCAGATCAAAGGTTTAAAGCAAGGGAACCCCAGATGGGGACACTGAGCTGAGAACATCAGACAACTGGATTGATAGCACAGGAAACTCTCCCCTACCCACAGAACAGTCAGCAGCAGTCCAAGCTTCCCAACACTGCCCCATCCTTGTGTGAAGAAGTATTTCCTCGCACAATGCACAGTCAAGCAATGGAACTCATTGCCAGGGGAAGTTGTGAAGGTCAAAACTATAACTGGGTTCAAAGAAGAATTAGATAAGTTCATGGAGTATAGGTCCATCCATGGCTATTAGCCAAGATGGTCAGGAACACATCCCATGCTGTGGATATCCCTAAGCCTCTGACTGCCAGATGCTGGGAGTGGATGACAGGGGACGGATCACTCAGTGATTGCCCTGTTCTGTTCATTCCCTCTGAAGAGTATGTCATCAGCACTATCGGAAGGCAGGATACTGGGTTAGATGGACCATTGGTCTGACCCAGTATGGCCATTCTTATGCCTTAACCCAGATGGGAGGGATCACTCAGAGGGGAGAGGGCTTTTCAGACTATATGGCCTAGTCAATCTTTGGCCTCTCTGTTGCCACTGCCATCTACCATCACTATCAATTGGTGACAGTATTTTGTGACGGGGACACCTGTCCTCTGGAAACTAGATGGAAACCCTAGATTTAGTTCACATACTGGAGACTACCAAACAGCCACTGATCTGATTCCTCACTCACTTGTGCATGCCCACTCTTTTTATGGCTATTATTGTAATTGATCTCGACTGCCATAACTACTGATGTTGCTAAGAAACTTTATCCTCCGATTGCTGCAGACCTGTAGTGTGATACAGTAACAAACTGTAATAAAAGCGATATCAGCCAGTACTGCACACAGGATTAAAAGCTGTTACTTCTGCACAGTTTGGCTGAGTTACAGATGCTGCGGGGAGACTAATTATGAATTTCTGATTGTCGGTATACTTAAATCTCAAACTTAACACTGCAGAGGTACAGTTTTAATGGATTGAATTGTACCTTAGAGTACATTGACACAGCAACAACAACAAAAAAATCCTGCCGCAGCGAGTCTCAGAGCTTGGGTTAACTACTCGGCCTTCTGGGAGTCACACTGTGGGGCTAAAAATAGCAGAGTAGATGTTCAGGCTCAGGCTAGAGCCTTGGGCTCGGGCTGGAGCCCAGGCTCTGAGACCTGATGTGACAGGTTGGATCACAGAAAACCCCTTGGGGCTGCCAACTGATGTGCCAAGACTACTTCTGCCCCTGCTTTCCTGCCCTGGCAGCTTGGGACTTCAGTGCCCTGCCTGGTCTGAGCCAGACCCGCTAGCCTGCTACAAATACAGACCCAGGTCTGAACCACGTCCCCTAACAGCTGTAGGCTTAATTGAAAGCAGCTTAAGAACTGTTCCTGTCTTTAACACTCAGATGCCCAACTCCCAATGGGGTCCAAACCCCAAATAAAGCCATTTTATCCTATATAAAACGTATGCAGGGTAAACTCATAAATTGTTCGCCCTCTATAACACTGATAGAGAGAGATCCACAGCTGTCCCCCCCCCCCAGGTATTAATATTTACTCTGGGTTAATTAATAAGTAAACAGTGATTTTATTAAATACAGAAAGTAGGATTTAAGTGGTTCCAAGTAATAGCAGACAGAACAAAGTAAATTACCAAACAAAATAAAATAAAACACGCAAGCCTATGCCTAATACAGTAAGAAAACTGAATACAGATAAAACCTCACCCTCAGAGGTGTTCCAGTAAGCTTCCTTTTACAGACTAGTCTCCTTCTAGTCTGGGTCCAGCAATCACTCACACCCCCTGTAGTTACTGTCCTTTGTTCCAGTTTCTCTCAGGTATCCTTGCGGATGGAGAGGCTATCTCTTGAGCCAGCTGAAGACCAAATGGAGGGGTCTCCCAGGGGTTTAAATAGACTTTCTCTTGTGGGTGGATACCCCTTCCTCCCCCTGTGTAGAATTCCAGCTACAAGATGGAGTTTTGGAGTCACATGGGCAAGTCATATGTCCACGCATGACTCAGAACTTACAGGTAGCAGCCATGGTTCACATGCCACCTTGAACGTCCTCAAGTAGACTTCTTATGTGGATTGCAGCATTCCAAGACCCATTGTTCGTTAAGTGTTTCTTGATTGGGCACTTAATTTGCACATTCCTTTCTCAAGAAGCTGACCAAAAGCTTTACTAAGGCTACTTAAAAATCAAGCAAGTACACAGCCAATATTCATAACTTCGAATAGAAAAATGACACATGCATACAAATAGGAGGAATAGATTCAGTAGATCATAACCTTTACAGAGATATGTTACATGGCATATGTAGCATAAAACATATTCCAGTTATGTCATATATACATTCATAAGCATATTTCCATAAAGCCTTAGGGGGTGCACTGTCACACTTGGGTCTTGGCTTCAGCCGAAGTCCGAAGATCTACACTGCTATATTTAGCCCCAAAGCACAGGCTGCTCAAGTCCAAGTCAGTTGACTGCGCTCTGGGACTCTCTGCTGCTGGACTTTTTGCTGTGTAGACGTACGATAAAGTACGTTAGTTGCAATTACTGCACCCTGGCCTCTCATTGATATGATAGCAGGGCCTAGAGGCAGAGACTGAAATCAGCCCCCCATTGTGCTAGGCCCTGTCCCTACCCTGAGGTGTATACAACCCAAATAGATAAGACAGACAAAGGGGAGGAGGAGGAGGAGAAAGGAAGAATTATCATCCCTGTTTTTCAGATGAGGAACTGAAGCACAAAGAAATGAAATGGCTCGATCGAGGTCACCCAGGAAAGCTGTGTAGAGCTGAGAATTAGCCTCAGATCTCCTGAATCCCACTCCAGTGCCTTACCCATTAGACCTTCCTTCCTCTTGCCTGAAGGATGGTTATGACACTCGTGCATGTTTATTAGAGCTGATTGATATTTTTTCCTCAAAATATTTTATTTGATGAAACGTGGCTTTTGACTAAAAATGTCACAGTACCTTTTCAGTGTGGCCACAATTTTCCATTTCTTTCATGAAAACCTGAAGCCAGAACCCATCCATTTTTAGTATCAGAGGGGTAGCCGTGTTAGTCTGAATCTGTAAAAAGCAACAGAGGTTCCTGTGGCACCTTTAAGACTAACAGAATTATTGGGAGCATAAGCTTTCATGGGTAAGAACCTCACTTCTTCAGATGCAAGTCATCTCTTGCATCTGAAGAAGTGAGGTTCTTACCCACGAAAGCTTATGCTCCCAATACTTCTGTTAGTCTTAAAGGTGCCAGAGGACCCTCTGTTGCTTCATCCATTTTTAGACAACTTGCTTTTCAATAAGACTCAGGCTCCTAAGTGCCTATGTCACTTTTGAAAACAAAACTTAGGCTCCTAAGTCAGTTAGGCATTGAAACACTGAGACCTAAAGGGAAAAGTCGATCTAAGCTACGCAATTTGAGTTCTGTGAATAGCGTAACTCAAATCGATGTAGCTTAGATCTACTTACCGTGGGGTCCACACTAGGCTGTGTCGACAGGAGACGCTCTCCCATCGACTCCTCTTCCTCTTCTCAATCTGGTGGAGTACCAGAGTCGACATCCAAGCTATCAGCGGTTGATTTAGCGGGTCTTCACTAGACCCACTAAATCGACCTCCGGTGGATTGATCACCACAGCATCGATCCTGGCTATAGTGTAGACAAGCCCTGAGTGGAGCAACACCTTTAAAACTCTGGGCTTCAGTCTCTCGCCCTCAGTTCCCCCTCTGTAACAGGAGGATAACAGCATTTCCCTATCTCGTAGTACATGAAAGACTGAGAGGTGCTCAGGTACTTTAGTAATAGGGACCAAATAAGTACTCAAGGTAGATGATTTTAAATGGGAGCTTGCAGCTAGTGTACATAGGGAAGTCATGATTAAACATGTATTAGCAGGGCAAGATCAACCCTGACAACAATCAGTTAACACGTCTCAAACCATGACTATTTTCCTACTCTAGACATAGCCTTGGAGAAGGAAGTATTGTATGCTAAGGCAGCTTTCTAAGGGCTTGCTCCTGCTCCATGTAAAGCAATGGCAAAACCCTCATTGCCTTCAGTAGGGTAGGATTAGGCCATAAATCCTCAGCTCTGACTAAAGAGAGTTAACCAAATATAAAGAGGTGTCATTGAGAGTCTCCGCCCAAGGAGAGTTTTCTCATATCCATGGGTGTAATGAGCTAAGACAGTTCTCTGTCATTTGTCTCCCCCTCCAGTATGGCAAGAAGAAGTTGAAATACCTACCTTACAACCACCAGCATGAGTACTTCTTCCTAGGTGAGTATGCTCCGGCCCCCTACACTTCCCTATATGGTGAGATAGAGGGGATGCATCTTTACCTTGCGGCTCCCTTTTGCCTCAGCAGAGCTATTCTTCACTTCCTAACTAATCCCTCCCTATCCAGGGCCCACTATCCCTTCCACAGCTTAATTGCAATAGAAGCAGGCACCTCATTTCCTCCGTGACATCATCATTGAGATCCATGGATCCTTATCACCACCAAAGAGGCTAAATAAAGTGAGGCAAGTGACTAAGTCTAGGAGGCAGCCCCCAGTAGATGAACATGTCAGCAGAAGTCCTGGGTTTGCTCATTGTTGGTCTAGAATCTTCCATACCAGAAGGTGAGCAGGACATGGAGGAAATGCCTCCTCTCTTTGCTGAGAGACAGTAGCAGAGATCTGGTTTCCCCTTCACAAGCTCTTGCCTCAACTCTTACTTTCAGGCCCCCAGCATGTCTGTTCACCTCATGTTACACACCTGTCTCCCTCATCTGCTGTCTTTTGTTTGCCTTTCAGTTTTCCCACCTCTCCTCATCCCCGTGTACTTCCAAATGCAAATCATCATGACCATGATCAGACGCAGGTTCTGGGCGGTGAGTGAAAGGTTGTCTCTGCTCTGTGTGTCAAACCGTGTCCCACGTGGATGGTGGAGAGAACCTTATCTGGGGAGGGAGAGAAGAGGCTTCTGTCCACTCTGTAAAGAGAGCTGGCTTAAGGAGGGGTGTTGGTGGGGGTGAGGGGAGGGTACGTTGCCTCTAATGCATTATCTCTTCTTTCTTTCCCTAGGACCTGGCCTGGGCCTTCAGTTATTACATGCGCTATTTCATCATGTACATTCCTTTCTATGGAGTTCTGGGATCCCTGTTTCTCCTCACCTTTGTCAGGTAGGAGACACTGCTCTCCCCTCCCTCCAGACATGGGCCCCACCCATCCCACGTGATGAGCGATGTCAAGCTAACTCATCTATGCCATGCAGTCCTCCCTCATTAATCAAGATTCTCTCCCCTCATCTACTCCAATCTGTGCTACATCACACTGCCTTGACTAGCTTCTCTTGCCTCAATCTCTGCCAGAAGATTTGATTTTGGTATTTAGTCTCTCTCATCATCAGGAAATCCCTAGTGGTGGTGACGGCAGGCAGAGATGGGAATCTCCATTCCCTCCTTCCTTCCTCACTCATCCCCACCCATGTAAAGCTCCCACACTGGGTCTAAGTCACCTGAGGAATTTTGGATGTGGTTCCTTCCAGAGCCCCTCCCAAGTCAGCTGGAAAGTAACTCAGGAATGAGGCATGGAGCTCCCTCCTTTAGGGACTGAATGTGCTGCCTCCACATTACGCCCAGCTCCTGCCCGCTCAGGGAGCGAGAAGTTAAATGCTGTCCCCCACGGGGATCCCCTGCATGTAGCATGCTTTGTTGGATGGTCCCTGACCCAGGCACTCACAGATCCTTCGTTTTACACCCTAGTACAGAGACAGTGCTATGACTGACTGGACTGATGTTCCAGACCATAGGATTGTATTGACATCTCCACCCTGGAAGCAGTGACTGTGACTGCTAGCTCATGTCCAAAGGCTGACCTGAATTTAGTTCCATTATTAGGGTCCTTAGAAAAATAATGTTTTAAAAGTAACAGAGGGTCCTGTGGCACCTTTAAGACTAACAGAAGTATTGGGTCTTAAAGGTGCCACAGGATCCTCTGTTACTTTTTACAGATTCAGACTAACACGGCTACCCCTCTAATGTTTTAAAAGAATTTTTGCAAAACTGTGTAAAAATCTTTACATTGTAGGATCGGAATTTCACCTCCCATGTTATTTTAATGGCTCTGATCATTAGTTAGGAAAAATTCCCATTGATATCAATGGGCTTTGGATCAGGCTCTTAGAGAAGCATGAACTTCAGAAGATTTCATTAAGTCATGATAAGCATCCATATGTTTAAAGGTTTAGCCAGCCTCTTCTGTGTCAAATCCAGTTGAAAATCTCACAGTGGCAGATGCTGTAGCTAGATTTCCAGTACTACTTTGTTTCGGTTGGATCACAAATGCAACAAGACCAGCTTTTCTCCCAGTAATGTGGTTAATGAAGCATCACCAAGTGTCCTTAAAATTGCTTATTTAAATGTAAGACAATCAGGAAAGAGTCCAAGGAGTTTTATAGATCAAACCAGCATTCTAATCAGTTATGAAATCTCTCCCTAGCTGCTCTCTCATTGGTCAGAGAAACCAGAATTCTTATACTGAGTTACCACTTCTACTCAGGCTGCAGATGCAAGCTCGGATAAAAGCATTTACTTTTGATGTGAGCCCAGGCATTTCTAGCCAGCAGGAAGACAGCAAGTTCAGATTGTTCTGATTAAGCTATTTGGCCCATATTACCCTTCAGTTGCTGGATTAAAACACCATGCGAAACAAATATGGTGTATAAAAACCTCTCTAGGCCAACATCAGGACCTTAGAAAAATTCTCAGATCCTTCTTCACTTGCACCACTCTCTTCTTTAATTTTGGGGTGACATTTTTGTTGGTGAAAGATGCTGGCTAGGCTAGACGAGTCTGGAGACTGAAGTCTTCTGTTTCTTCAAAGAAGAAGTTCAAAGTTCAGAACAAGGATAGCCCTGCCAAAGTCCCTCTCAACCCTGGCCTAGAGAATAGGCATAAAAAGAGAGTTCTGTTTCCATGGTCTATTCCAGTGGTCTGCAACCTTTTTACACACAAGATCACTTTCTGAATTTAAGTGCAACCCAGGATCTACCCCGCCCCTTCCCTGAAGCCCCGCCCCACTCACTCCATCCCTCCTCTCTCCGTCGCTTGCTCTCCCCTACCCTCACTCATGTTCACCGGGCTGGGGCAGGGGGTTGGGGTGTAGGAGAAGGTTTGGGGTGCAGGCGGGGGTATGGGGTGCTGGGTCCGGGAGGGAGTCGAGGGGAGGGCTCCCACCAGGCAGCACTTACCTTGGATGGCTCTGGGCGGCAGCGCAGCAGGGCTAAGGCAGGCTTCCTGCCTGCTCCAGCCCCATACTGCTCCCGGAAGCAGCCAGCATGCCCCGGCAGCCCCAGGGGGGGCACATGGTTCTGCACACTGCCCCTTCCTGCAGGCACCACCCACGCAGCTCCCATTGGCAGCAGTTCCCCATTCCCAGCCAATGGGAGCTTCGGGGGCAGTGCTTGCAGGCAGGAGCAGCGCGTGGAAACCCCTGCCCACCCCCACCTCCAGGGGCCACAGGCCAGGAGTGTGCTGGCCACTTCCGGGAGTGGTGCAGGGCCAGGGCAGGCAGGGAGCCTGCCTTAGCCCTGCTGTGCCGCTGGACTTTTAGCAACTGGAGATCACAATTGACTGGCAGAGGCTCCAGGATCAACCAGTCGATTGCAATCGACTGGTTTAGGACTTAGAATGGAAGAATCCCATGCACCACTACAGGCTGGGGACTGACTGGCTAAGCAGCACTACAGGCTGGGGACTGACTGGCTAAGCAGCAGTTCTGCCGAAAAGGACCTGGGGATTTCAGTGGATGAGAAGCTGGATATAAGTCAGCAGTGTGCCCTTGTTGCCAAGAAGGCTAACGACATATTGGGCGGCATTAGTAGGAGCACTGCCAACAGATAGAGGGAAGTGATTATTCCCCTCTATTTTTGCCCTGGTGAGGCCACATCTGGAGTATTGTGTCCAGTTTTGGGCCCCCCACTACAGAAAGGATGTGGACAAATTTGAGAGAGTCCAGTGGAGGGCAACGAAAATGATCAGGGGGCTGGGGCACATGATTTACGAGGAGAGGCTGAGGGAACTGGGCTTGTTTAGTCTGCAGAAGAGAAGAGTGAGGGGGGATTTGATAGCAGCCTTCAGCTACCTGAAGGGGGGTTCCAAAGAGGATGGAGCTCGGCTGTTCTCATTGGTGGCAGATGACAGAACAAGGAGCAATGGTCTCAAGTTGCAGTGAAGGAGGTCTAGGTTGGATATTAGGAAAGACAGGCAGGGGGAGGGATAGCTCAGTGGTTTGAGCATTGGCCTGCTAAACCCAGGATTGTGAGTTCAATTCTTGAGGGGGCCATTTAGGGAACTGGGGTTTAAAAAAAAAACTGTCTGGGGATTTGTCCTGCTTTGAGCAGCGGGTTGGACTAGATGATCTCCTGAGGTCTCTTACAACCCTATGATTCTATGGTTGGTGACCACTGGTCTATTCCATTCTTTATCTCTTTGCTAAGACTGACAGCCAGAAACCTAACAATGATTGGGGAGGAGGGTGTTGTGAGGAGAATACATGTCCACCAGGAAATTGAACAGATCAGAAAGGTTCATTCTGAGTGAGTGTTTCCTGGTCAGTTCTTATTTTATCCATACTGGTGGCCCATCCCTGTGTATCACAAACTAAGGGTTTTAGAGTGGTAGCCATGTTAGTCTGTATCAGCAAAAAGAACGAGGAGTACTTGCGGCACCTTAGAGATGAACAAATTTTTTTAGGCATAAGCTTTCATGGGCTAAAACCCACTTCATCGGATGCATGCAGTGGAAAATACAGTAGGAAGATATATATACACAGAGAACATGAAAAAATGGGTGTTGCCATACCAGCTCTAACGAGACTAATCAATTAATGCAGAACTGGAATTAATTTCCAAATTGGACACCATTAAATTAGGCTTGAATAAAGACTAGGAGTGGATGGGTCATTACACAAAGTAAAAACTATTTCCCCATGCTAATTTTTCCCCTACTGTTACTCACACCTTCTTGTCAACTGTTTGAAATGGGCCATCCTGATTATCACTACAAAAGTTTGGTTTCTCCTGCTGCTAATAGCCCACCTTAATTGATTATTCTTGTTAGAGTTGGTATGGCAACACCCATTTTTTCATGTTCTCTGTGTATATATATTTTCCTACTATATTTTCCACTGCATGCATCTGATTAAGTGGGTTTTAGCCCACGAAAGCTTATGCCCAAATAAATTTGTTAGTCTCTAAGATGCCACAAGTACTCCACAAACTAAGGGGTGAATCAAAGCTTGTAAAGGCAAAGTAGTGTGAAAGAGCAATCCCCCAGTGAGAATGAGAGATCAAGGGAGATAGCCACTAAGGGTAATACAGTAAGGTATCCTAATAATCATGTTAACACCTAGACCTAAAATGGAGCTCCAATGGAGCAGAGCTGATTCCTTCCATTGTCCAGATTCAGAAAGCTGCCTGCTCCCTCATCTTGGGAAATACTCCCCTAGAATCCTATGCCCCCTCTGTGTACAACATGGCTGCTGCCTGTACACCCCTCTCCCCACTCCCTTTGCTATCACTGTTGGCCTTACGTGCACTACCCTATATGAGGATGGCAAGCTGCACAGATTATATCCTGATCTGCGCTGTGAATGGTTATGCTTCCTTTTGAAGGTTTCTGGAGAGTCACTGGTTTGTGTGGGTCACACAGATGAACCATATTCCAATGGAAATTGACTGTGAGAAGCACAGAGACTGGCTCAGCGCTCAGGTAATGGCTGGGATATTAATGTCCCATAATAGGTTAGAAATTCACTTGCCCTTCAGAGAACAGCTGGATTATCATTGACTACCTGGCCCCAATGTTTAGTTTGAAAGCGTTCCTCATTCAGGTCTGGAGAAGTGCAAGGTTCAAGGGGCTTCACAACAACCCTCCTTCATAAGTGTATTGGCACACAGGTGTGTAAATCAGAAGTAACTCCATGGAATTCAATGGGCCAGATCCTCAGGTGTAAATCAGTTTAGCTTCTTTGACTTCAAGACCAGCTGAGGACATAGACTCACCAAACATATACAACCAGAGGAGGAGATACCATGCCTCTTACCTGCAGTGTTCTAAGATTAATTCAGCTCTCACTTGGCCTGCGTCTCCTCTCCATTATACTGGTGTAAATCAGAAATAGTTCCAATAACGTCAGTAGAAAGCGGGTGTAGCTGAGTTGAGTAGGAGATGGATTCTCCTACATCAAGTTACAGTATCTACTATCTACTGAGGCCCTCAAGGGATAGCTTTCAAAGTCTGGCAGTCACCATCTCTCTCTTGGGTCCAGATCCAGTAAACGCTTAAGCATTTGCTTAGCTTTAAGCATGTAAATAGTCCCACTGTAGTCCACTACTCATGTGTATGACGTGAAGCACATGCTTACCTGTTTTGTTGGATGGGGGATTTGGAGAAAGAACAGATCTGACACTGATGTGATTTTAAGCTGAGTTGTTTGGAAACACCTATTGCTCATGCAGTCACCATGCAGAATTCACTGCCACAGCTTAGCAAGGAAAAGAATGTAAGAGAATTTTAAGAAAGACTATGTAATTGTATGCTCACGAATCCCAATGGTAGCTATGCCAGCTAAGCAAATGTTCCCAGCCTGTTGAAACCTCATGCTTCAGGGTTCAGCTGATGACCTGTGTGCAGCTGGGAAGGTAATCTTCCTGTTCCCTCCCTTCCATCCCCTACCTCCCACAAAGTCGTAATATTACACAGCTGGCTGGATGTACAATGGCCTCTTGTTTTGCCTGGCTCTGACGCACTGGGTATAGGGTGTGTTGAAGGCAGGATACCAACTAGATGAAACTGAGGCAGTATGGCAACCCCTATGCAGTTCACTTTCCAAAACTTGAGAGAATCCCTGATCAAGCCTCTCTGGTGACAGAGACGTGGAATTGATGCCTTGCAGCCTTCTCTCCTTTCTAGGCTAGTGGAGCCATGCAAGAGGATGTGGTTATTCCCTAAGGAGTGGGGGAGTTGGTCACTCTTCTTTTAGTGCCCCCAGCCCTCTCTGTCAATCTGCCTCTGGTTCAGAAGGGATGGACGTCTCAGGAGCAATTTGCTATTGGAGATAGGGAGGTACTATTATGATAACTAAAAGAAGAACAGAGAGGGATCTAAACGAGTGGGAACACCCTGACATCAGCTCTGTTATCATGAAGGACAACCTGCAATGTGATGTGCTGCACATCTTGGAGCTAGGAGCCAGGAGCCGTTTCCAAGATAGGCTGAGACTATGAACACCCTAGTAGTTTAACTGGCCTGGCACCATTAGCCTCTTTTTCAGTTACCAAGGTGGTCTTCCTGGTCTCAAGCCCCAGGGTGCATCAGGGGAATATACAGTAGGTCAGCAGAGGCCAGATGGGATTGGTCTAGAGGAGTATAGGGAATACAGCTAGTGCAGGAGAAGATGCATAAGAGAATATTTCATCCAACAGCTTGGTAGTGCAGTAAGGTGCACACGACTGCTTGGTTTGAAGTACCTCCTCTGCCTTCTGCAGCATGCAAGAAGAGCCTGCTCCAATTGGTTTTAGGCCCAGGCTTCATTAAAATTCACTGTCGGCATCTTGTCTTTGCAGTTGGCAGCTACCTGTAATATCGAGCAGTCCTTTTTCAATGACTGGTTCACCGGGCACTTGAACTTCCAAATCGAGCACCAGTGAGTATGGGCCCAGGGGGATGGGAAGGAATCTTATGGACACAACCAGGTCACCACCTGGCCAGTCAGGGCAGGACTTGGGGGAGGGGTGCAAGCATTATGGGGCGGCAGTAAGCAGGGAAGGAAAAGGGACCTCAGGAACATCATGCATGAAATCAGAAGAAACAACTGCAGTCATCCTTTCATTTCACCACTAAACACAAATATCGTTCACCTGTTGCCACCAGCAAATTCCCCTTTCACCCTCACAATCTTAATTTAGAGTCTGATTCAGGACTCATTGATTAAAATGGCCATTAAATCAGGTCCTTGGGTTCATTTGGTTTGGAGTGTTTCTACTCACTTCAGTAATTCCCTCTGCCTCTTCCCAGCCTCTGATTTATGTAGCTTTAGTGCAACTGCATAGGATTATCTGCAGTTCTAGGTACCCTAGTTCAGCAAAGATGTCAAAAGATAAGATCAATTATGCAAAATGCTGTCCATGACAATACAAAAATTAGAGGAGAGGTCAGATGGAGTAAGCCTGAAGGACCCGGAAGTTGATTTAGGGAATGAAAGAGAACCTAACAGAGCTGCAGAGGATAATTCTTTATCTGTTTGTATGGTCTATGAACTTCCAGACAATTTAGCTTGTCAATAGACAATTAGTTGTTATCCAAAGGGAATGCAAGTCAAGTTGCAGTGGGGGAGGTTTAGGTTGGATATTAGGAAAAACGTTTTCACTAGGAGGGTGGTGAAGCACTGGAATGGGTTCCCTAGGGAGGTGGAGGAATCTCCATCCTTAGAGGTTTTTAAGGCCCGACTTGACAAAGCCCTGGCTGGGATGATTTAGTTGGGGATTGGTCCTGCTTTGAGCAGGGGGTTGGACTACATGACCTCCTGAGGTCTCTTCCAACCCTAATATTCTATGATTCTATGACAGCAATCTCAGTAGATCAAGTGAGATTGCCTCACTCCTTATTTTTCTAGCACTCCCTGTTTTCTAATCTGATCTTTCATTCTTTCTAAGTACGTTTTTGTTTTGGGGCATGACAGCAGGAATGGGAATCAATACATTCAATTTTCAAGAGCATTTCTTTAAAGGGGGTACTTCAAAGCTTGGATTTCTCCCTCTCGCTCTGTTCTGTCTGCCTGTTTTGCTTGGACAGAGGCAGTAATTAGCCCTAAGAGGAAGCAGAAAGTGTCTGTTCCCAGGGGTCTGTCGTTAGGTTTTTCTCAGGCTCTCTCTACTTCTTTATTCAAGCCTGTTTCCCATGATGCCACGACACAATTACTGCAAGATTGCCCCACTGGTGAAGTCATTGTGCACCAAGTACGGAGTCCACTATGAAGAGAAATCTCTCGGCAAGGCATTCATAGACATTGTTGGGTAAGGGGCCTTCAGTACTACTCATGGGTGTATGTAGCCTGTAGTGCCAGTGCCAGCCTTCCACTAATCTCTTGTCTATTTTAATATAAAAAGCTCTGTTTCATAGGTACCTGTGCCTAGAGCAGTGGCATTAGAGCTGTAAAATGTTTGTTTGGTGTAGGAGTGATAACCTTTTTGCACCAAACTAAAAAGCATCTGGATTTTTACTGTAGAAATGACATAGCTGCATTGACTTCAGTGGAGTAACAACCATTTCTGAGCCAGATCCCCAGTTGACGTAATGTCATAGAGAAGAAAAGGACAAAGCTATCTCAAAAACAGCAGGTTCCAGCTCTCTAACCCACAGACTCCTTCCACCCTGGTCCTCAAACAAGGAGAAATCAGGAGTGACTTGCTCAGTGATTACCAAGTCACCACTGAATTCCCCCAAGAGATGTTCACCCCTTTCTAGCACCTTTCGTACCATGCTATTCAGGTGGCTAGCCCTTTAAGTAGCTACGGGCCTAACGTAGCCATTTTGCACCTGACTCTTGCAGACAGCACCTTCCTATTGCTCAGCTGACATTCCCGAAGAAGTGGCACATCCTCAGGATGGGGGAAATAGGTGGACATTAAGACTAAAGGCCCAGATCTTGAGCCACACTGAGTCCTGTTTGTGCCCCTCCAGCAGCAAAGAGGCCACGTCAAAGCACACATATGCTCAGGATTTATGTGCTAAAGAAGCAGTTGAGGATTACTCCACCATTGCAGAATCCTCAGCTGGCAAAGAGTTAGCATCACTGGTTCTGTACCGCCTACTCTAACGGGGGCCTGTTGGGGGTGGGAGGGGATATGGAAACAGCATGCTGCCGTAACAGCCTCTAAGGAACCAATCTAAGCTGGCACAAGTTAGTGCAATCCTTAAAAGGATGGAAAAGTGGCAGCAAACCACCTTTGCTCTCCCCCCCTTGCCCTCAGATGCATCAAGTACTGCTCTGATGCACAGGGGGTTCTGCCAGATGTTTCTCAGGACAGTGACCACATGACTATAACATACAAATTCTCTGAAACCATGAAACATGGGTGTTGTCTGAATTGTAACTAGAAGGAGTTCCTGCTGCAGAACATATTGAGCTACTTTCTGGCACTTTGTATAAAGTCCTCCTACTACAAAGGGCAAGGTACATAACACTCTGTGGAAACCTCCGCACACGTGTGGCCCTCGTTTGGGAGAGTAAGAACCGACAGTCCTCTCAGTGGAATTCCCCCACATTCACACAGCATCACTTCCAGGCCATGCATGGCATCTCCAGCCACCTTGTCTCATTGAGAGGAATATTTGATCCATAATAGCCCAAATCTGTTGCATTCTCCATGTCTGATTGTCTTCAGAGAGCTGCTGTGGAAGGGAATTCTGTATGAGGGGTGATGCAGAGGAAGAAGGGGGGAATTCTTGTATGTGTGCAGCTTGTTCTGCATGGTTAGGCAGAGATAGTTCCAGTGTGTGGAGCTACAATTTGTTTTCTTTTGGGTCAGCTCCTCAGTGGGTGTAAATCAGTGTAATGCCCATGAAGTCTGTGGAGTTAATCTGATGGACACTACCTGAGGATTGTGCCCATTCTGTTTTAAGTCAAGTTGTGTATGGAGCGAGATAGGCACCTCGTCTCGCTTTATAGACCCAACGTTCGGGAAGGACTATTGACCTCCTGAGGAATGATGGTTGGTTTCAGAAGTGGGCAACTCCTTGCAGAATCTCTGTTCAGGTAGGCCTGTGAGTCCTGCTTCACTAATGCCTCTCTTCTCTTTCCATAGGTCCCTAAAGAAATCTGGACATCTCTGGTTGGATGCCTACCTCCATAAATGAAACTGCATCGTAGTGGGGAGGTGCGAGTGATGGGGGAAGGACCATGTGTTTTTGTTCTTTTGTTTTTTACTGTCAGATTTTCAGCCTATATCTGTGTGCACAGTTGGAGGGGAGTTTCCTGTCTTGTGAAATGCTACTGGGGGGTGGAGGGGGGGGAGGTTTAAGACACCTTTTTAAACCAGAGGGATTTTTAAATGTGTTTGGCACAGTCTTCAGAGGATGAGTTAAAAGATCCATTTCATACCACCCGGCTGGAAATTGACCAAGCTGAGTGGGGTTTTCTGTTTTGGAGGGGGAGGATGAGAGAGTGGGGTGGATAACCAGAAGAGCAATTTCTTCCCTCCCCTCCCTCTTCCTGAGCCATTCACTGCAGCCCTAGCCTCAACCCCACACACACACAGGCACTTGATTCATAAACATGATCAGGCCAGCATCAAAGAGCTTCTGCATCTGTTCCAATATTTACAATCCCAGAAACCCCAATCAGCTTACGTCCTTTTCCCCCTTCTGATGCTGGTGCAGAGGAACAACAGCCCAGGATTGGATTGTGTTTAAAAACAAAAAAAACCAAAAGCCTGTTTGATCACCCACAGAACGGCGAAGTCTCTTGGCTGCGCTGCCTGCTGCATCCTCCCTGGAGAATTGGGAGGCGCAGCTGTGAGCAGCAGGTGCTGCATTATTTAGTCTGTCTGCCTCGCTCAGAGCCCTGCTGTGGCTTTGTCTCTCGCTCAGCCTCTTTCTCTCTCTGAGCGCAGCGCTGTGAACTCCCGCATTAGCTTCGCTGGGACTCTACACAGGCACAAGTATCCAACTGCATGGGCCTCAGTGCTGGATCAGGCTCCGTGTGTGTTTTTACTGCTCACCCCTGTTTTCAGGGGTCTGCAACTCAGCTCTGGGCTGAAACAGCGAGAGGGATTTAACAATCACTTAGGTTTTCTTTCCATGTGGCCCATTAACACTGCTGAGATGTCTGCTAACTAATGATAATATTGATGCATATAACAAATTGACCTGACCATTGCAGATGCTTTATTGTGCTCTTTGTGCGGGAGGGGTTGCAGCTACTTAACACAAATACAGCAGAGAACCAAGCTACCCTGGTTTTACATTTGGTGTGAAACTTTCCATAGAGCACTGAAAAATGTCTTAAATTGTCTAGACCTATTTTCTGTCTGATAGACAGTTACCCAAGAACCATTAGTGGCTCTAGTGGAGAGTAGAGTTCAGTTGGTTCCGTGACACAGGGCCCAATCCAAAGCCAACTGGTAGCAATAGAAAGTTTGCCATAGACAGCAGTTGGCTTTACATTAGGCCCAGAGACTTTAATTTAATACAGTTGAAAGCAAGACAGATGTGACATTCCAGTAACATTAAGGGCCAAGGTTTCTAAAAAAAGGCCTCTAAACTTCTGCCCATCCCTCATTGCTTGTTCAAAACCCACATTTCCTTGTGCAAAATAGGTATTTAGTCATGCAGTTACCTAACAGCAAGTTTGCAAGCACATCATTAGGTCCCAATCCCACAACTGCATCTCCCCAAGCAGATCCTATCACCCAGATCAGGGCCGGCTCCAGGCACCAGCTTGGCAAGCAGGTGCTTGGGGCTGCCACTCCGGAGAGGGGCGGCACGTCCAGCTGTTCGGCGGCAATTCGGCGGACGGTCCCTCACTCCTGCTCGGAGCGAAGGACCTTCCGCCGAATTGCCGCCGCAGATCACGATCGCGGCTTTCTTTTTTTTTTTTTTTGGCTGCCTGGGGCGGCCAAAACCCTGGAGCCGGCCCTGACCTAGATGGTGCTCCACTAAAATCAACAGGGCTCTGCCTGCCTGGAGGCAGCTGCAGGACTGGGGCTTGACACTTGAGAAAGTTTAACCCGCTTTAGAAAATGTCTCACTGAAGATCAGATTTTACTGCACTAAAGCCAGGAAATTCATAGTGGACATTGTAATTTAACCAATCCACTGATGCCTGAAGTTTGTAGGGGACTCTAAATAGTTGGGTGATTATACACACCCTGTTGATTGCAATACTTAAATATCACCACAGGTGGTTAGAATGAAGTTTTATTGTCCTGGTGGTGTTTCAGTTTCAACCAGACCTTGAACACCTTTTATATTGCAGTCCCTGGGGTTCCAATCTCTAATAGCATAATTAATAGTATCCTTCTGTATTTTGTAATCTTTTTGAACAAGGTAGTAATGAGTTAGCATGGGATTGTGGAAAACACCATTGAAACTGCCTTAATCTCAGTCTCTTTTTGATTCAATGAATGTATTTCACTTTCTCTGCTCCAGGAGGGATAAGCACAAACATACTGCAGCACCTGCTTTGCAGTCTTCCAAACAGGCAGCTCGCTTTTCGAGAAGGTTCAGGTTCTTTGCTCCTCCAGTTCTTGTTTCCATAACAAACTCTGAGTTTGGCTGCTGCTTCCTCTGGGCTCTGGCCCCTTTCTCTTTGCTGTCTGTCTTGTTGGAATGTTGTCCATTTGCATGGTAAACGTCCAGAGGAATCTCAGGAGAGTGGTGACCGTCCCAATAGACCCATCCCAAACCAGTAGCCTTATTCTAGTCATGTGCTTTTGTAGTTGTCATTGATCAGCTTACTGGAGGGACTCGTGTTTTATTAAAAGAATAATGCAATTCCAGTAGGGCACCCTGCATTGCCAATGCTTGGGAGATGGCAGCTATCACTACTGACAGCTGTAGAACCTCGGAACATTCTAGAAGAGCAATAGGGCTGGGCACCATGCAGAAGGAAGGGCCAGTCCTTAAACAGAACAATTGTTTCATTTGTCCTGAGCAACAACAAACAAAATCATAAAGGGAACAAGTAGGGACAGGCAAGTGCCTGATATTGGCTCTTCCCTCTCACCCAGGCGAGCTGGGTGCTTTAGATCAAACTATAGAAACATTCTTGTTCATGGAAAACTCTGAGTCACTAAGACCTGCAAAATAAAAACTATGCCATTATATAGTTGGGAGAGATTTGAGTGACGTATTGTTACGTCTACTGGGAGATGAAAGTCCTCTCTCTACAGAGGATCAAGTCACTGACTCCACCATAACTTGCAGGTGTGTTTATCTTACTTTATGTATTAATGTAACCTATGCCTGCTGAGTGTGGTGCTCTAGTGGCAACTAAACCACCTAGAGATTAATGAGTCTGCTACAGCATTGGGTAAGAGGCATGTGGCTTTTAGCTCATGCAATACAGGTTCATGCATTTAACTCCAGAGGTCCCAAGTTCAGTGCTGACAACTGGGGTCTGTTAGTGTCACACTAACATGCAAACCCAATGCTCTTATGAAAACTGTATGTGTTGGGAACAATGTCAGCTGTATCTGTCAATTTTGCCTCTGGGGCCAGTCCCACTTAATCACCTTCCCAAATGAGCAGTGTTCTTCTCAAAACTTCCCTCTTTCGCTGGAACTGAGGCCTCTTTTCTCTCCTTCCTCCAACTCCAGACAGTCTTTTATTTAGACAAAGGTGTGTCCAGATGCAGCAACTCAGTAGAGTGACAAGGTCTCCATTTATACATTGGAGTAAGTCAGGCTGAGCCCTGGTGTAAAGGGATGAATCAGGCTCACTGTATTCAGAGAAGTGAAAAACTTTCATGATGAAATTTGAAATTCTAGTCAACTAGCCTGAAAGGTGCAGAGCAGTTTGCAACCTGGGGCAGCAGAGAGAGATCCTGGCTTTATTGAAGGCTTTGGAATGAAAGCCAAGAACCACTGAAGTGGCCTTGCATGGCTTTGGTCCCAAACCAGCCTAAACTCTGCAATTTTAGCTGAATTTGACTTTGTGTTTGTAGGTTTGAACTTGACACACAAAGTGAAATTCAGGGGTGCAAACATGGAAACTTAAAACCTAGTTTGCCCAAATCCCCAGAGAACAGCAATCAACGAGTTCCCCTCCCAGAGCGAGCAGGGAAAAATCTATAATGTTTTCTCTCTTTTGATTATTTATTGCTTTTGAATGAGATACAAGCACACAACAAACTCTAGGACATGCAGGGAGCCTGTTGGGGCTTTTAGGAAACAAGCCTGAGCCATGCCATGGGTGACTTGGCCTTTGGCAGCATGCAGGCCATTTCCAGAGGCTGTGGGTTGGAGGTAAGCAGCTTGTTTCAGACAGGACGATTGAATGGGTAGACCTGAAGGAACAATCTTTGCTTCCCTCCAGTTAGCAAGGGGCGGTGTGGAACATTGAGGCTAGAAGGTTCCTTGGCAGTTGGGATTGGCAGTTGGAGGGGGAAGGAGTTACCTGCTGAAAGTGGGGCAGGAGCCCTGGGCGGAGAGATGGGGAGTACAGGTGGGAAAGGGGAGGTCGTAGGGAGCTGGGGGATGTGTGAGGGGAACAGGGTCAGGGATGTGAGCATGAGGCAGAAAAGAAATCAGCAGGGGAAAGAGGACGAGGAGAGAGGAAACCAGGCTGAGATCAACTGTCCCGCATTCTCTCTCATGTCATCGTTACCTGATGAGATAATGGCTTCAAGGCAGGATTGTGGCTAGCCCTGCATGGGTGCACGAGGAGGGAGGACACCAGCTCAAGGAGCGCTCCCTTTCACAAGGAAGGAGAAGGCTCACTCCCAGTCCTTGATCTCCCTGAGTAAAGACTGGGTGCGTCTAATGCAAGTAGCAATACTAGACAACCCAAAGAGTTGGGTTTTGGACCCATCCTACTCCCACCTAGTTAGCAGAACAGGGCCAGTGCGGGGGAGGGGGAAGAAAACACACACTGCACCCTTTAAAGGGGTGTTTCAGTTCTCTCTGAAGTGTGCACTTCTCTAGCACTCTGGGAGACATGCTGGGTGAGCCAGCTAGGAAATCTCCTAAAAGCTGTGGGGTAGATCCTCAGCGGGTGTAAATCTTGCCACTCCATTGCTGTCAATAGATTCGTGTACCATGGATAACACCGTCCACACACATCAATAGAAGTCTGTGTCAAAATGCCTCCTTTCTGTAACAAGCTGCTATACATCAGCCATAGCCTCTTCCAACAGATACTTTTCTAAAAGCCACCCTAACAGAGCCCTAAAATATAGTGTGTGTCTAGAGGTAGTTAAAAAAAAAGCATCAATTCAAAAATCATCATAGAAAAGCTCCTGATTGTATCATTCTTCAATAAATATTTCAGTAAATCAAAGGAACTATTTTTTCTAGTGTATCTTCTTCTCAATAAATTCATAACTGTTGACTATAAAACCGTTTAATGTGGTTTATTCACTCACATTCAAAGTAATTGCTGTCCATAGTGAAACCTGTTGATGTATATGCTTCTCGGGCAGCTGCAGATGTACAAACAAACTGAAGGCATGCAACAAGGAAGAGCTATCTAACCTAATTAGGGCATTTTTAGGACACCCATCGCTGTATTATCTGAACACCAGGACAGCACACCATTCCTTATGTCTGGAGTTGTGTCAAGGATGTGTGTTTAAATCCAGTACTAGCTGGGTTTGGGGTGGGATTTAAGGCTTGTTCAGCCAGGGGGGTAATGGCACTATGGGGTGTGATTTCTAAAGCACTGTGTTGCATGTTAATTGATTTGTATATACCCTGCTGGTGCACATTAAAGTTTCCCCGTGCGCTTTTATATAATGCTCTTTCAGTATGACTTGTGTAGACTTGTGTGATTTAAGGCTGAATCTGGTACATGGTTCAGGATCCGTTTTGTTAGTGCTGTTCTTTTTGACTGCTTCCAATTCCAAATCAGAGATGAAGCAGCTTTTTCCTGTTTTGAATCCCCAAACCAGACCCCCAAGCCATAAGAACAGCTGAAGTCCAGACCTGCCTGGGCCTCAGAGGGATTAGGATTTAAAGTTCCAGTTGTGGCTGTCTGCTTATTACAAATTACCACTTTCTAACTAGCCATATTTAGCAGACATGACTTTTGTGAATGTCTCTGGGGAACCCTCTGTGTTCTATGATAGCCCCAGCCTCTCGCTTTGTGGGGATGAGTTGGTGTGGTGACTATTTAAGCCATTGAAAATAGA